TCGCGGCGGTCGACCGCTTAGTGCACAGACCCAGACTATGTCTCGGGACTGAGAGCGGTCGACCGAAGGTGGCGCTGCGGTCGACCGGAAAACCCTGTAATCGATTTCCCAGATTTCGACGTTCTGACCGGTCGACCGTCTTGGGCACTACGGTCGACCGCGTAGCGGTTACGGGTCTGGGTCTGTTTCCTGCTCCAGTTGGGATTTCTGTTTAGTATAAATAGAAACACGATTTTTCTAGGGTTTAAAAACTCAGTTTGTAATCAGAAAAGAGATCAGGGAGGTTGCTCTTTGATCTAGAGAGATTGCGAGAGAGAGATTTGTAAAATCCAATTCATGTTGACCTTGGCAAGAATCTTCGTCAGTGCATACATTGTGGACGGACTAATCACATCTCTGAGAAGTGTTGGGAGAAGTTTGGTCGACCTGCATGGGCCAAGATTGCTGATACTACACCTACCTCTGTTGCTTCTCCTACTACTACTGCTCCCTCCACTATTCAGATTTCTCAAGCTGAGCATGATCGGTTGCGTCAACTCGATCTCTCTCAGAATAATTATTCTGCTACTCATGCATTCTCTTCAGGTATGGATGCCTACATTGTCTCTCCTCATAGACCATGGGTATTAGATTCCGGCGCTTCTTCTCATATGACGGGTCTTAAGGACCACTTTATTTCCTTAAACCTTTCTGACAAGTTTTCATCGGTCCGGATCGCTGATGGGACATACTCTCCAGTTCTTGGTGATGGGGTAGTTCATGCTACTTCATCGCTTACTCTTACTGATGTTTTATATCTTCCCAAATTTCCTGTTAGTTTACTTTCCATCAGTCAATTCACAAAACACAACTGCAAAGTCACTTTTTTTCCTTCTCATTGTGTTTTTCAGGACCTAGCAACTGGAATGACGATTGGTTCGGGGCATGAGAGAGGAGGCATGTACTATTTGGATGACAATATGCCTGCTACTGGTCTTGTTGCAGATAAGTCTGATAATCCTTTATTATGGCATCAACGACTTGGTCATCCCTCGTTATCGAAGCTTAAGTCTGTCATTTCTATCCAGTCTTCTATTTCTTCTTTAAGTTGTGAGTCTTGTGAACTGGGTAAGCACCATCGTGCTACTTATCCAAATCGTATTGATAAACGCAGCAGTTCTGCATTCGAGTTAGTCCATTCTGATGTTTGGGGTCCATGTCGTGTACCTTCTGTGAACGGTTATAGATATTTCCTTGTCTTTATTGATGACTTCTCTCGCATGACTTGGCTTTATCTTATAAAAGAGAGATCTGAGGTTTCCACCATTTTTGAAATATTTTATAAAGAAATCAAAAACCAATTTTCCACCTCTATTCGTATCCTTCGTACTGATAATGCTTTGGAATACATGAAACATGACCTCTCTCGTTTTTGTGCAAATATTGGTATTATCCACCAAACATCATGTTCTCACACTTCACAACAAAATGGAGTTGCTGAAAGGAAGCATAGACACATTTTAGACGTTGCTAGAACCCTGATGGTGCATATGAATGTACCAAAGTATTTGTGGTCTGATGCAGTCCTCAGTGCATGTTTCCTGATCAATAGGATGCCCTCTCCTGTTCTTGATGGTAAAGTACCATTCACCTGTCTTTATCCTGACAAAAGGCCTTTTCCTGTGGTTCCTCGAGTTTTTGGTTGTACTTGCTTTGTTCAGGATTTGTCTCCCGGACTGGATAAACTGTCTCCACGATCTATTAAGTGTGTCTTTGTAGGCTACTCGCGTACTCAAAAAGGTTATCGGTGTTATAATCCATCCACCAGGAAATATTTTGTGTCTGCAGATGTAACCTTTTTTGAGTCGGTTCCATACTTCTCCTTGACTGGTTCTCCTCCAACTGTCAGTCCATCTGTGCCTCTTCCGTCTATTGCTCCTACTACTATTCCACTACCTGCTTCGGTTCCTTCTGCCGATGGATCTTCTCCAGGACTACAAAATGCTTCCACTATGTCATCTGCACCACCACCACTACTAACGTATTGTCGTCGTTCAAAAGTTCCTGTCCCTCTCTCTGCTCCAGCCGCACAGTCATCTCCCATTGCTGGTCTGCCTCCTTCTACTCATTCTGATCTAGATATTCCAATTGCTTATCGTAAAGGTAAACGGTCTTGTACTAATCATCCTATATCTGATTTTGTCTCTTATGACCGTCTTACTCCCTCTTTTCGTCAGTTTGCTTTGTCCTTGTCCTCTATATCTCTACCCAGGTCCTATGAGGAGGCTGTATTAGATCCTGCTTGGAAACATGCTATGGATGAGGAGATGGATGCACTTATTTCTAGAGGGACTTGGGATCTTGTATCTTCTCCGACGGGCGCTACCGTAGTTGGCTGTCGGTGGGTTTATACCTTAAAGTATCGCACCGATGGTTCAATTGATCGTTATAAAGCTCGTCTTGTTGCTAAGGGATATACTCAAACCTATGGGGTTGATTATCTTGAGACGTTCTCTCCCGTAGCCCGTCTCAATTCCATTCGCCTACTTTTCTCTATGGCGGTTAATCTGGACTGGACAATGTTCCAGCTGGATGTTAAAAATGCCTTTCTGTATGGTGACTTGCAGGAGGAAGTCTATATGGAGCAACCTCCAGGGTATGTTGCTCAGGGGGAGAATATGGTCTGCAAGCTTAACAAGGCTATTTATGGTCTCAAACAGAGTCCACGGGCATGGTTTGAGAAATTTAGTACTGCTATATCTGGTGTTGGTTTCAAACGATGTCAGTCTGATCACTCCGTCTTTATCCGGCGCACTACATCTGGTCTGGTGGTTCTGGCAGTATATGTTGATGACATCCTGCTAACTGGGAGTGACCTTGTTGCCATAGCAGAGACTAAGGAGTACCTTTCACGTCACTTTGTGACCAAAGATATGGGGAAACCCAAATACTTTCTAAGGATTGAGATTGTATACCAAAAGGACCGTTTACTTCTATCTCAAAGGAAATATGTATTGGACCTATTAGAAGAAATGAGCCTTTTGGGGTGTAAGCTAGCAAACACTCCCATGGAAGTGAATGTGGACTTATGGCGTGATAATAGTCCTCTCCTAGATGATGCAGGCCGATATAGGAGATTGATTGGCAAGCTGATCTATCTTACTGTGACCAGACCTGATATTACCTTTGCAGTGGGAGTATTGAGCAGGTTTATGCATATACCTAGAGAGGTTCACTGGACTGCTGCTCTAAGAATTTTGGCTTATGTTAAAAGCTGTCCGGGAAAAGGATTACTGTATAAGAAACATGGACATTTACACATCTCTGCCTATTCTGATGCTGGGTATGCAGGAGATATAGGAGATAGAAAGTCTACTTCTGGATTTTGCACCTTTATTGGAGGAAATCTGGTTACTTGGAGGAGCAAGAAACAAGATGTAGTATCTCGATCTAGTGCAGAAGCAGAATACAGAGCTATGGCTCACACTGTTTGTGAGATGATATGGCTACAGAAGCTGCTGACCGAGCTTGGCTTTTCGCAGCCTGGATCTATGCCTATGCATTGTGATAATCAATCTGCTATCCACATTGCAAAGAATCCAGTGTTTCATGAGAGAACTAAGCATATTGAAGTTGATTGTAATTTTGTCAGAGATGCTTGGGAAAAGAAAGTGATATCTCTTCAGTTCACTCCGTCTTCGGAACAGTTAGCTGACATTCTCACTAAAGCTACTTCACCTAACGTGTTTTCCATTCTAAGTAACAAGCTGGGCATGATTGATATATATGCTCCAGCTTGAGGGGGAGTGTTAGAATTAGTTCTTGGGTTTTCGGGTTAGGGCCCATTAACCCATTAGCCTATTACCCATATGTAACCCTATATATACCCATGGAGATGAACCATTAACCCATTAGCCTATTACCCATATGTAACCCTATATATACCCATGGAGATGAATGGAATGGTAGACTCTCTGATTTTCCTACTTCTAACAATAATATTAGTTGAGCGACTTAAGGGTGACCGCCAAATAGTTTACTGTTACTGGCGCAAAAAGATGAAAAGCAAAGGAAAATGAAGGTCTTATCTTGGAAAACTTAAAATTTCTCTCTACTGAAAATCTCAAGTCAGGAAATTGTCCGTCAAATGTGTACCTGAGTATTCCAGATGAAGAAATCTGAGGGCTCAAGGACTTCCTCTTATTCATCCCCACTCCTTGCATGCGAAAACCCTAGAATCAAAAAAAGATATCAAGTTTCTCTTAGAACTGTTAACCAGCTGCCAAAAAACATCGAATTTTTAATGAACCAGGAGATTACCTTCGGAAGGGAATGAAAGAGTAAAGAAACCATCCAAAAGATCTATCGAGATTGATGAATCTCATGACCTGATCAAACTCTTAAGAATGAACTGTAAAATAACAGGAACAGGATTTCCCCTGAATTGAAAAAGAGAAAGAAAATGGAGGAAGGTCAGTTTAAGTAGGTTTTCAGGTGATTGTTTTTCTTCTTGGTATGACTACAAAACCCATTTGGATTGACACCCACTTTTCTGGATCCAAGGTATGACTACAAAACCCATTTGGGCCGACTAATGAAAATTGTGCGAGCATAATCAGTATGATAACAGAATTTCCCCCCCTTCTTTTATAATAGCAAATAAGTTTTTTTAATGCCTATGCACTTTAAGATGTGTATCTACTTACTTTTGTCACAAAGATATCTTAAAGGCATGGTATATGTACTTATGTGCAAGTCAATGTTGCCTAAACCCAAGTTAGGGAATATCACTCCCTTGCCTGTGTCAGACACATTATTTGCAAGCAACATAAATTCCATGCTATGTTTACTGTTTTGTCTTCTCCCTCCCTCCCTCAGCAATTGGCAGCATGTATGCCCTATGCTAATTACATGAATACTGTCACATCACTGTCACTTTTCTTCCAGTCTTTTCTAATACGTCTTTCCTCATATACAACTAGTTTTATTAATTGATGAAATTTCGCTACCCTGCTTTTCAGGCAATATTTCAACGATACCCACGACCAGATAAGGAATACCAGTCATTCTCTTTGATTTACAGTGATAGGTCTTTGGATGTGGTAGGTATTATCTGTTTATACCTTATATTTCTTCTGCATTCATGGAATGATATTATTTCCAGTATTCACAAAACATTTGGGTTTCCAGAAAAATCTGTCTGATATGCCTACTGTTGTGGGCAGATATGCAAAGACAAGGATGAGGCCGAAGTATGGTTTGTAGCTTTGAAGGCATTGATTTCACGTGGAAATATTCGGAAATGGAGAGCAGAATCCATAAGAAGTGAAAGAACATCTGATGCAAATAGCCCTACTACAAGTACACAAAAAAGTTCTCCAACATTCAGTACCGACACTTTCCATAAGGTTAGTATTTCTGATTTATCATGGATTTTAAAATTAGCCAACTAACTTGGTCATTCTCTCCCTTTGCTTTCATCCTTTGAAGGATTCCAGAGATCCCCAAATTCCATATGAGGGCCACCCTGTTAGCAGTTTCGGGAATTTATTTTCTGATGTGATATTATATACTGCACAAACCAAAAGTTCCTTTCAGCGAGATTCAGCAAGCAATTCTCTTCGCACATTATCTCTTGAAGCTGGGGATATCTCAAATGGGCGTGGTTCTGCAGTTGATGCTATTAGACTCAGTTTCTCTAGTGCATTAAGTTCTTCTAGTTATGGATCTGGATACGAGGAGTTTGATGCTCTAGGCGATGTTTTCATCTGGGGAGAAGGCATAGGTGATGGGGTTCTTGGAGGTGGTCAGCATAAAGTTGGAAGTTTGTCTGTCGCTAAGATTGATGCCTCTTTACCTAAAGCACTGGAATCGGCAATGGTACTTGATGTCCAGAATATAGCTTGCGGGAGTAAGCATGCTGCAGTAGTAACCAAGCAGGGAGAGGTCTTTAGCTGGGGTGAAGAGTCAGGAGGTAGGCTTGGTCATGGAGTAGATGCTGATGTCTCAAACCCAAAGCTCATCGACACTCTGAGTGGAACTAATATCGAGTTTGTTTCATGTGGGGAGTTTCATACTTGTGCTGTATCATTATCTGGGGATCTGTACACATGGGGTGATGGTATTCACAATTCAGGTCTTCTGGGGCATGGGACTCATTCTAGTCATTGGATTCCTAAAAAGGTCAGTGGTCAACTAGAAGGTTTGCACGTCTCATCAGTATCGTGTGGACCATGGCATACAACTATTGTGACATCTGCAGGGCAAATATTTACATTTGGTGATGGAACATTTGGCGCTTTAGGCCATGGTGATCGCACAAGTACAAACATGCCAAGAGAAATTGAAGCTCTGAAGGGCATGCGTACAATTCGCGCAGCTTGTGGTGTTTGGCACACTGCTGCAGTTGTGGAAATTAAAGATTCATCTTCTGATTCTGTCAGCTCGGGTATATTGTTTACTTGGGGAGATGGAGATAAAGGTCGACTTGGACATGGTGACAAGGCACCAAGACTTTTGCCGGCATGTGTAGTTTCTCTCTCTGAGCACAACTTTTGCCAGGTTGAATGTGGGAATGATGTTACCATTGTTCTTACAACTTCTGGACAAGTTTATACTATGGGGAGTAATGTTTACGGGCAACTTGGGAATCCTACCGCTGATGGAAAGCTTCCCACTTGTATTGATGGAAAGCTACGTGATATTTTTGTTGAGGAGATAACTTGCGGTTCTTATCATGCTGCACTTTTGACTTCTAAAACTGAAGTGTACACCTGGGGCAGGGGAGCAAATGGCCGTTTAGGCCATGGAGACAATGATAATCGAAGTATTCCAACAGTTGTTGAAGCTCTAAAAGAGAAGAAAGTTAAGAATGTTGTATGTGGTTCAACTTTTACTGCAGTGATCTGCTTGCACAAGTGCGTTTCAAGTGCTGATCAGTCCGTATGCTCTGGCTGTCATCTTCCGTTTGGTTTCAGAAGAAAGCGTCATAATTGTTATAACTGTGGTCTTGTTTTTTGCAAATCATGCAGTAGTAGGAAGTCTGTGAAAGCTTCTTTAGCGCCAAGTATGAGCAAGCCATATCGGGTATGTGATGGATGCTATACCAAACTAAAGAAAGCCACAGGGGATGGAGTGTTTTCTCGAAAACTGAAGCTTCAAACTGGCAATCTAAGTCAAATATCCAATGAACCGGCTGAGAAATGTAGCTTTGTTCCTAAACTACAGGGGCAATTGTCTAGGCTTTCTTCGGTTGATTCCTTTAAAGGTGAAAGCAAATATTCCAGACAGCATGTGATTGAGCTAAATAATGGCCAACTTTTGCCTAATCTTAGGGAAAATTATTTGCAAAGTAGTCAGCAAGATAGCTCTTTAAATCTCTCAGGATCTTCAAAGAAAATGTTTTCTGTCAATGTGCCTAGTTCGAGAGCGCCTTCCCCCCCAACGTCTCCTCTTCCAAGTAGGCCAGATCCATCTTATCCAATAACCACACAGACCATAACTAATCTTACATCCCCTGCAATGATTGATGCTCGAAAGACGACAGATGACAATCTGAGCCAAGAGGTTGTTAGATTGCAGTTGAAGGTAACATATTGCAACTTTATGCTCATTCAATATTATGTGCTTCCCAACTGTATGCACCATTTGTTTTTGTAGTATTTAGTAATCTGAAATGAGATCTGCAGTAGAACGTTACCATCCAGTGAAATAGTTAGCTCCTTAAACTTGGTTTCCTGGAACACTACATGAGAATAGTTATCTGGAATAATGCTCATCTTGATGCTTTGATTTTCAGCATGAGCAGATAACCTTGTCAAATCATGACATTAGTTATCTGGAATAATGCTCGTCTTGATGCTTTGGATTTCAGCATGAACAGATAACCTTCTCTCTCCCTTCTTCCTCCCCCTCTCCCTCCCTCCCTCCCTCTTTGTTTGTTTCTGCATATATATACGTGTAAATACATGTGTGCACGCATTCATGAATATAGATATATATTGTACTAGATATGACTAACAACATAAGTACCAAGAGAATGAGATATAAGAGTGATGAGGTCCACTAGTTTATCTCTTAGTAGCTCATTTTGTAAATTGAGCTAAGGACCACCCTGCTAATCACATCAGAGCAAGTGGACCTCAACATTCCTATCTCTTGAGCTTATTTTCCTAAATTAGGTACCAGCTCATATTCAATATCCCCTATACATTTGCATGTGTGTGCATATTGTTTCAATCTTGACTATATCAATGCATCTCTTGCATGAAAATACTTTTCGGTTTCATTTTCTCAAGGACCCATTCTCTCAGCCTAAAAGCATCTTTAATATCTATTGGACCTTAAATAAGGATTAAATGGGAAACTCTATAGAAAGATTAGCGTGGATGATTTTATACTTTATCCAGATACAGTCATGTTGGTAAACTATCAATTATAAGTATGTATACAAGGATATACTTGGCAGGTGAGATTAAAAATATGCTCAAATTAAATACATTGGATATTCATAATTAAAAATTATCATCTTTGCAATCTTAATTGTGCTCACTACTCAGTTTGGTTAAAAGCTTATGGTTAAAAGAGATAAAATCATGTACCAATCTCGTTGTATTGCTTTCCCTTTTATCAGGTAATATACTAGCTGACATGACCATAGGCTTACTACCAAGCTACAATTAGTACTTCCTATCAGCACCATCTTAAATTTCAGTTGGTTACTATTAGCTTACAAAAGGAAAGCATTGTGTAGATATCAACAAGAAACCCTCCATAATAGGTTGTAGGTACCAGTCAGATGATAGTGATGATGAGCATAATTACCTATATTTGTCTATTTACATGTAGTGAAAATATGATGTGAACTTAGGATATCCATCTTCGAAGACTTTGTCGTAGAAAGTATATGTATTCCCTGTAACGCCCCGCCCCGGAATCCCGGAGTCGGTACGCTATTAGATCTGATGGACTGGCTTCACAAACCACCACATGTCTTTTCAGCACGTTTTGTCCTCACTCACGCGCTCCCTGAAAAACTTTCCAGAGGGTCACCCATCCTAGAATTTCTCCAGACCAAGCACGCTTAACTTTGGAGTTTCTAAGAGTTGGGTTCCCGAAAAGAAGATGCATCTTGGTGGTATGAGTATTCTAATCAAATCTATTAATACTAATCACATCACCCTCTCAAGGGTTGGGGTGTTACATACTCCCCCACTTAAACTCACAACGTCCTCGTTGTGCCAAATCATATCATCCAAGACCGTATCATCCGTGTGAGATTCTAGAGGTGATTCCTACGGCCTCAAGAGGTGGCTCCCGTCCTCTCGACGTAGCACTTTACGCCGCATAGCACTTAGCTCTCACAATTCCGGTTGGCTTTGCTCTGATACCATTTGTAACGTCCCGCCCCGGAATCCCGGAGTCGGTACGCTATTAGATCTGATGGACTGGCCTCACAAACTACCACATGTTTTTTCAGCACATTTTGTCCTCACTCACGCGCTCCCTGAAAAACTTCCCAGGGGGTCACCCATCCTAGAATTTTTCCAGGCCAAGCACGCTTAACTTTGGAGTTTCTAAGAGTTGGGTTCCCGAAAAGAAGATGCATCTTGGTGGTATGAGTATTCTAATCAAATCTATTAATACTAATCAGATCACCCTCTCAAGGATTGGGGTATTACATTCCCTCTTATATTTATGGAGAAAATTTTAAAACAGACCTTTTTTAAACATAATAAGCAAAATCAACCTATTTTGAAAAAAATTTAGCAAAATCGACCGTTTTTTGCCCACATGGACAGAAAACCGTCGATTTTGCTAAGTTTTGATTTTTAATTGCATGAGACTAGTAGTCCCGTGTAATTAGTGGGTAACTGCTATGCCCGTGTTTTTAGTAGAGATTCGAGTAGCTGAATCGATTTACACGGGACTACTAGTCACGTTTTTGAGTAGACACTTTGCAGACTTGAATCGATTTATACGGGACTAGTAGTCCCGTGCGTTTCCTGGGCCAAAAATCAAAAGGCACGGGACTACTAGTCCCGTGCATTTTCTGGGCAGTTCATGTGCACGTTTTATGTGCATGTGTATTTCCTGTAAAAATAAAAACCATCTCCAATTTTGTGTATTTCCTGTACAAATCCAAGAATCATCTCACATCGATATATATCGTAATAAAACTAACAAAAACCACATTTGCATTTCAAATTCCCACCACAAATCACACCACAAACTCATCTACAAATCCAAAAACCGTCTCACATCGATACATATCGTAATTTACCCATTCTCATCACACCACACATATTGGAATTTCAAGTATACTTCACATACTACCTCAGTACGTATTGGAATAAAGCCAAGAAAAGAATAAACATATCAACATAGGTTTGCAAAGTATATAACGATAATGATTAGTTTATATACAACCAATAACTCTTCTCCTCCTCCTCTGTCTTTGTCCTTTAGCTCCACGATCCCGAGCTTAGACGAGTTCGTTATTCGGTTGCGTTTGTAGTTGTGACGGTCCGGCTTCATCGTCTACATGTTGCGAATATCCGACTTCATCGTCGTTTCTGCTATGTGCTTGTCGTTGTCTTCGTCATATGCAAATAATGTATTATAGTTGAGATCAAATTCTCAATTGAAAATCAAATTATAACCCTAATTCTTGTTAAACCCTAATCAATCGCCAAACCACATTATTCATCATATTTCATAAAATGAAACTTAAAAATTTCACCACAAATTTCACATCCCAATCAAACCTAAACTCTAAATCAATCCATATCTATTGCCAAAATACTCATAAATGAATATAAATTTAACCACAAATTTCATAAAACACATTTAAAAATACAAATTTAACCACAAATTTCATAAAACACATTAAAATTAAACCCTATATAATTCATATCATTCATATCAAAATTAAACCCTAACCTAATCCATCTATATCATTCATCAAATTAAGCTCTAACCTAATCCATCCATATCAAAATTAAATCCCAATAATGTGGTTTGCCTAATCTATCTCCAAACACCATTTTTCATATCCCAATTAAACCCTAAGTCTCTAACCTAATCCATCCATACCACTCATTACTCATTAGTTTCACAAATAGAAAAAATAAATTGCACCACAAGTAGAAAATCTTCACCTTGATCTTGTCAGACTCGGCGGCGGCGATGACTGTGGACTTGGGGGCGACTTGGGGGTGGCGGTCGAAACCAATCCAATTTGGGGCAAGTGAGAGAGAGAAATGAGAGAGAGAGGGAGAGAGAGAGAGAGAGAGAGAAGAGAGAGAGAGAGAGAGAGAGAGTTTAGGTCACGAAGAGAAAGAGGGTCACGGGTGGGTCTATGATGGGCGAAAATTACACAGGACTGCTAGTCCCGTGTATTTTTCGCGGTTAGTTAGCGCTTTATAATTACACAGGACTAGTTGTCCCATGTAATTACGAAGTTTAATTTTGTAATTTTGACCTCTTTTTGGCCAGCAGTGATGAGCTAGCCAGAAAAGGTCGAAATTGCTAATTTTATTCTGAAAAGGTCGATTTTGCTCATGTTTAAAAAATGTTTATTTTTAAAAAAATGTTTATTTAAAAAAATTCTCCTATATTTATTGGCAATTAGCTTCTTAAATTGAGTATGCAAATAACATAAATTATAAATCTCACTTATGTACAGTGTTGTCGTATTTAAAGTTTCAATATGCCTCTTCAAAGGTCATCTGTTGACTATATCTTTTTGTCTGTATTCTTTTTTGCTAAGTACTGTTTATGCTGAACATGTTTGGTTTATGGAACAGTTCATGAACTTTAGTATTGTTCTGCAGGTGGAAGAGCTAACTCACAAGTGTCAGCTCCTAGAAGCAGAGTTGGAAACAACGTCAAGGCGATTGAGGGAGGCCACAGCAATGGCAGGAGAGGAAACTGCAAAATGCAATGCTGCAACGGAAGTAATCAAGTCCCTCACAGAACAAGTAAGATCTCTTTGTACCTGCCTACCTGCCAGAACTTCAGCTCTTAATCTTCTACTACTTTTTCTCTTCATGAAGGGATAAAATCCCCAGATAATATACATGTTCTCGTCAGAAAACATGAAGGGAAGTTTGTTAAGAAAATTATACAACATTAGTCTTGAAATCATCTTGAGTGTCAGAACAGGAGCTGGCTTGTATACTACTATGCATGGTTTAGTTCTCAAAAAATATACAACCACGAACTGTGTAAATTATTTTTGTTTGAGTTAAATGCGGATAGACCCCATGTACTTTCGCCAGTTGCAGATAGACCCCATGTAGTTCTATTTGTGCGGATAGACCCCCTAAGTGAATTTTTTGGCTCTTGGCAGAGTCAAAAAAGTCAAGGAGGCGGATAGACCTGATGTAATTAGTGAGAATAGACCCCAATTGCTAATTTTTTGGTTATTAAAAGAATCAAAGAAGTTGCACCGAGGAGTCTATCCACAGTTGGGCAAATAATATAGGGGGTCTATCAGCACAATGATGATAGACCCCAATTTGCAATTAACTCTTGCTATTTCTGCATGCTATGTTGATGCAAGAGGCGTGCATCCAGGAAACATCTATTTAATTTTACTCCCAAAATCATTACTGCACACGCAATGATATTTTTGAGACCTTCTATTAAGTAGTTTTCTATGTGTTTGTGTATGCTTTTGAATAAACAGTTATCAATTTAATAACATTTAGTTTCCCTGAATGTCAATCAGTACAGCAATTCTCACTTGCTAGATATATTTGGAGTATAAAAGGTGGTCTTTTGGTTTCATTCTAGCGGTTGATGCTTATGTAACATGTGGCCTTCATATGCTTATTTTCTTATTATTCTTTGGTGATTTAATATGAAGCAAAGCATCTAGTGTTCTTGCATTCTGGGTTGCCATCTTTTTTGGATCAAGGTCATGCAACTGATGAGGTTGCATAATAATCTTTGCTGCACTGGGTTTCCCACAGCGGATAATCTTACATATCTGATGGTGATGGTCAAATTATCCCAATCACACTTGCAACATAGAACTTGTTTATAGAGCATTGCTATAATTTGGCTATTAGAATTTTTCAGGTGATCCTAAAAATTGTCAAACCTTTCCATGAGGTTTCCTTGTGGGGTTTCTGGAAGTATGCTTGGATATTTCAACAATATTCCGCCTAGACTTGCTTCCATATTCAATTCCTGGATGCTCATCAGTGTTTTCTACATTTCTGGTGCCCATATGTTCCTCTCAAGATAATATACACATCCCAGAATGTTCTCGGCTTCAAGTATTAATATTCCCTACTTCCTTGTTATTTTCCTCCAATTCAATTCTTATTGTTTACATACAACTCCACATTCACCAATAACCCAGTAAAATAGAACATAAAAGCTGTCCTTTATTCACGATAAGCCATATAGGCTTACTGGCTACAGTTCTGAATGAGGATCCTTTACCTCCTTTACATTTTTTCATTCTCAGTGCAAGCTGATGAGTTATGTTTAATTTGGAAAAGGAAATGTGGAACCTGTATTTGCCATTTCAACCCCCCTCCCCCCCGCGCGCAACCTGAAGCGGTGTTTTTTCTACTTCACTATGTACATCTTCTCCCTGACAAAATGGTCAGATTGGTATATTTTGTAGACTCGGTGACAGATTGATATATTTTTTTTAACTTTTGACAAATTGGTATATTTTGTAGACTCTGGCACCAAATACCCCGTAAATTTGGCTGGAGTTACTGTTCCGACCAGTGCTGACGGGATTTCTTGCATAAAACCTCCTCATTAAAACTTCATCATGCTCCTAAGCCCCTCCTCCTCCCCCTCTCCCTCCTCCTCATCCTCTTCAACCTCCCCCTCTCCCTCCTCATCATCCTCTCCCTCCAAATCGTCGTCATCATGATCATCATCAGCAGTCTCCTCTCACGTTTTCCCTCCATTATTCAAATATCTTGCTGACATTCGATCCAGCAAACTTGGAACTTTGATTCATGCCGATGTTGTCAAGATGGGTTTTGATTCTTACACTTCGACTTGCAATTCAGTCATTAGTTTTTACAGTAAATGCAACATGATGAGCTCTATGTTGAGATTTTTTGATAAAATGGAGTGTAAAGATTCAGTAGCGTGGAATGCTTTGATACATGGATTCTTGAGTTTAGAGGAGTATGAGCTCGACCTGAGCTTGTTCATGGAGGCTAGGGCTTCAAATTTTGAACCCAACGTTTCATGCTTGATCCTTGTTGTTCAAGATTGTTGGAAACTGGAAGCCATTGACGAAGGACAAAACCTACATGGGTTTTTAATTATAGCCTCAGTGCAGAACTCTTTGCTCAGCATGTATGTGAAATTTGTGAACTTGAATTATGCACATAAGTTGTTTGACGAAATGTGTGAACGAGATGTGATATCTTGGAGCTCGTTGATGAGCGGACACACGCGATGCGGCAATGCCACCAATGCTTTACGATTGTTTCGATCGATGTATGTTGAGCTTGGTAACGAGATGGATGGGCTTGCGACGGTTTACGTTCTTCAAGCATGCGCAAATGCTGGAGATATCGACAATGGGAGGTCCATACATGCTCATTTGATCCGTAAAGGATTTGAAGAGGATGTGTTTGTTGAGAATTCTTCAAGCATGAATTTTCTACAAAAACATTCAAATCTATACATGGGTTTTGTTGGGTTTGTTGAATGACATGATTTCTTGCACAGTTTCTGAAAATTTTCAAGAAATTTCAAAAAATAAGATGGATTGAGGGGGAAAGAAGAAGAAGAAATAGGTGCAGTTTGTTGGGTTTGTCCCCTGATGATTTGGAGAAGCTCCATAGTTATGATTACGACGACGCTCATTTGTTGATGGAGGTTGGATTTGAGAGGAGACTATTGTTGATGATGATCATGATGACGATGATTTGTTGAAGAGGAGGGAGAGGGGGAGGTTGAAGAGGATGAGGAGGAGGGGGGTTAGGAGCATGATGAGGTTTTAATGAGGGGGTTTTATGCAAGAAATCCCGTCAGCGCTGGCCGGAACAGTAACTCTGGCCAAATTTAAGGGGTATTTGACGTTAGAGTCTACAAAATATACCAATTTATCAAAAGTTAAAAAAAAATATATCAATCTGTCACCGAGGGTCTACAAAATATATTAATCTGACTATTTTGCTCTTCTCCCTTAAATTTTCTTCAGGGATCTCTTTGGCTCTTTGCTTCTCTGAGTTGTTTCTCAACTTCTCACTTCCTTGCTCGTCATTTTGTTATCATGTTCTCATGCATAATAGCGATAGTCAACTTGAATAGAGTTCTCGTCGTCAAACAGCAAAGATCGTTGATGAAATCGGGTTTGCCGGGCTTTGGAAAGGTCATCAGAGCTTCAAAGCTTTGCCAGAGGAATAGGATGCTTGTTGGAGATTACTAAGGCCTGGTAGGAGCTCGAGTGCAAGCCCCCCCCACCCCACCCCATAAGCAAAAAAGAAAAAACACAAACACTTTGGAGACAGATTACTTCTAGTTAAGAGATATGGGGGTAATGAAGATGAAAGGATGGCATTCCGGAGGCATCACCAGAGTTCAAACATGCTGGCGACCTTGTCAGAAGTGTTAACAAAGAAGTTCAATGAAGCTTCGGCAGCTAACAACGGGTGCGAGGATGCATCAGTTCAATGAATGATCTATGGAGGAAAAATGGAAAATATAGTATGGAAAATTTTAAAATCGATTGTTTTAGTGGATGATGATGTCAGCCCAAAATCTGCATGGGGGTGTAGGGTGTCGATTATTTTGGTTTTTTGTATTTTGGATGGACGGCTAGGATTAATTTGGGAGGAGGGATTTGATCTAACAAAAGAGTACATAAATCGTGACTAGGCGGGAATAATTCACAACACCTAATCTATAGGCTTCACATTCGGGTAAATCACATGTCTACTAGACAAAAAAATCACATGCTAAAATTTTCATTACTTTTCTTTCTCAGTTTTCTTTCTTGTTAAATAATAATAATGATAAAGATCACAACTCTGTAAATAGAGTTCGAATCCTATCTCTAATACAATTTTAATTTTCAGAAACAGATTCTAATGTAAATCATAATAGAATCTAATTTCATATCTACATAACTCAATCCTTTAGAACCTAATATCCTATCTACAAATTCTAAAAGATAAAATCAAATCTTAAAATTTTGACATCCTAACAACTCTATCTGCTTCAATATGAATCAAATCAAATCTTTGAATTTGTCTTTGCATCACATTCCTACATTTTATTCTTCTCTAGGCTCTGTTATGCAGTTCATGTTGCGCTTTGATCTTTTTGGCTTTTGCTTCATTCTATAACACAAGACCTGTTGTTGGAGAGGATCTTGAATCCCTTTTTAGCTGTCCTTGTTGTTTGTACTGTACTTCTCAATTCAATTCATCCGTTATGTTTCATTTCTCATCATGACTTTTATGGTATTTCAACAAAAAAACTCATTTCCAGTATTAAATCATCAGCATATGAACGTAAATAATGGAGGAGCACATTAGTATTGAAAAAAGAGGAGAAACTTATTTATGTGGAAATGGAGGGAATAGAGAGGCCTTAATGGAGAAGAATTTAGAAAGGGTAGACAAAGTGGTAGTTGAGGAGAAGAGGGAGCTATGAGAGAAATTTATGGAGGGTAATGACGCTTCAATAGAAAATCAATGTTTTGTTTATTATTCAAAGTAAACCATATATTAGCCTCATCTCGACTTAAAAAGAGAAAAACTGCTAAAACATAGCTTTCAAATTAAATTAAATCTCAAATTTGCTCTCCTAATTTGCATCAAATAAGATGAGAATTACCTACTAAATGAAGTCCTACTTAATAAGAAATGTCAGATATCTAGAAATCAAAGGTGGATTTCCGTTTCAAGCTACTAGTATAATGTATGTGCTTTGCACGTGGACATGTTGTTGTATTTAATATTATATATATTATTTAATAAATTAC